ACTGGAGGAGGAGGAAGGAGGCTGAGTGGGGAAGTGGGGTAGATGGGAGGAAGCGAGGAAGTGGGAATTTTTTAATGGAAATATATAAAAAAAAAAAAACAAGCAGCCTCCCCCAGCAAATTGGCATGCCAACATGGGGCTGAATACATCCACATAAAACCCGAGAAAGCTTGGAAAGAATTCTAAAAGAACAGAGTTAAGCACATCTTCTTGGTAGGGAGCAATTATTATTATTATTATGGTTATTTTTTGGATGGGCTCTGTTTGCTAACAGCATCCATGGTTTCTCAATAGGGGGTTCCTAGTCCATGCTGTCAGCATGATGTCTGGCTCTTTCAGGAGGACAAGCACTTCAATGATGTTTGTGGGCAGCATGCTGCATGTTACTTGGTGGCAGCATGGGCCAAATGGTTACCAAATTTGAGGTGGTGAGCTTTTGGAAGTAACAGGGGCAGTGAATGAAACTCCACCATGTTGAACTGATCAAAGCCAAAAGGAAAAACAGCCTTAGTCCTAGCCAAGCTGCTTTGCAATTTAAGTGGTCCTGATCACAAAAGGATTATAGATATGCAATAAAGACAGATTCAGATTTTAAAAATACCTCTTAAAGGGTCACAGTGTTGAATAAATGCTAGTAGGCTTAGAAGAGGGAAGAAAAAAGTATAAAGAGCTATAAAAAGTAAATAGTTTTTAAAGTAAAACTAAATCTTTAAATTGACAGAGTCAATTTGTACAAAAATTAATACAGTAAGAAAAATAAGCCACATAAAGTGTGATATACACAGAGAGTATGGATTATGTATATAATTGTGTGCTTTGAATTTTTGACTGTGATTGAGCTAAGTACAGAGATATTTCATTGTACAGGCTGTTAAGCTAAACAAATATGTATATGGCATCTTGACATCAAAATTTTGTTCTAAGTATATGTTGCTTTGAAAACGATGTTCCGCATTTGTTTCCACAGATGTTAGAAAGCTGTGGACTCTTCACCAGCTAATATGGTTTGATGAACCAAGAACTCATGAAAGGTCACCTTGTACACTCCCCAAATTGTCTCAACAAAAAGCAACAGTTTGGAGAGATCTATGCACAAACTCCAAAATATTGCTTATAAATGTTGTTTACATTTAAAGGGGGATATGATACAGAGATCAACATTTTGCATTAATATGGGTTTTGGTCTATTTATAAACATTTTAGGTCTATTTTGTTATATGTATATTTCTGCTCTTCATTAAAGTATTGTGTTTGTGTACTCATTTAAAAATGAAATGCATAATTAAGAAATATAGGTTAATAGTCATCAATAATAGACAAGCTTGTAGTCATGTTAGTTAGGTTTTCTAGATATGTAGAGATATATTTCAGTTAGATAGGTTTTCTTTAAACCTTTCAAAGACCCTCAAAATACTGCATTTAGAATGTTTAAGATCTTAGCCTTTTCATGACAATGAGACACATCTGCTCCTGGCAGCACCAATCTAACTCAAGAGGATGATGAGCATCAAAGGTCTTTAAGAAGTTTTCTAGCCATTTGGGCAAGAAACTGCTCCTGCCTGAAATACATGATAGTCTGCTGTATGAACTGGACATGACCCAAAGAAAAATGGCTACTGAACTTGCCTAAAGGCGAGACGGCTCAGAAACAAGTCCTGGGTGGCCAGGAAACAAACAAGCAGCCTCCTCAACAGAGGACATAGACATTTATTCAAAAGGTTACAGCTCAATCCTTTTATACAAAGTTTTCAAAATTATGTCAGAGAAAATACAGACTCATTTACAAATATCAAAACTAGATATCCAACAAACCATAAGGCAACTCATCTTGATCTCTCACTTGATATAAAAATTATGTCAAAATGGATCAATTATATATTGGTGTAACAATTAAAATATTAATTGATAGAAGAAAAAAGTTAAACCCTTTATACCTGTAACACCAGCTTCACACCTCAGGCCCAGAGAACAATTCAGAAGAGTGTGTGGAAGAGCAATGAAACCAGGATGTCTTCTCTGAGAGTGTGTCTTATAAAAAGGAAAGAACTACAATCATAAAAATTCAACAATATGGCTTCTTAAGAAGACCTGAATGATGACAAAAAAAAAAAAACTAGATATACCAATTGGGATGGAGGAGTTCTTGTAGAACCCTGACACTAGGTGAAGAGCTATCAGTAATTTTTAACTGCCCAGAGTGAGAAAAGTAGTTTTTTCTAGAGATGAACCCCATAATTTATTCTCCAGTGCAAAGTAGTGAGCAATTAAGTATACATATATGAGCCCACTAATGTCCTCAACAGCCATATTTATACATACAGTTTGAAAAAAGGTATCGGTGATGAGTAGGACTGAATTGAGTAAAGAAAATGTGCCCATAACCTGTTTATACTTCTAATATTGTGCAACACACATATTCCTAGCTAATGTCAAGAAACACATAAAATAAATTTTGAGCTATTAAAAAAATATTGCCACATACCAATGCTGTTTCCTTTTAGCCCCAAGAAACTTGTATATTCTTTGTAGAAAAATACAACCTCATTCAGGCAGAAGGCAACTTGGGACCCTGACCCTTGCTGAGTCCTTAGAGAAATGTGTCAGTTCAGTAACTGTGCCCAGGTACCACAGATTTCCATGTCCTGTCTTGAGGTCTTCTCCATTGACTGACCATACCCTTAAAGGAGTCATTTGTCATCAGGACACAGCATGGCCATGTGTTTTCCCAACCATGAGGTTGCTGTTGTGCTAGCTCCCAGATAAGAAATGACATCTGTGTGTATTTGCTCAGCTATGGTCAGTGCTGTTGAGCTTCTAAAATAATGAGTAGGTTAGGAATGTTAGTGATTTGTAAGTATGTTTTCTATTTTTAATGCCAGGTGTCTGTCACATGTGATGTGAAGACAAACCAGACTCCATCTTTTCTCTTTGTATTTCTGGGAAAACATGATGAAAACTTGACAGACTAGTGAGGAAACTGAGTGTTTATTAGCTTGGTATCAGCAGAAGCAAGAGAAACCTCCCACGCACTACTTGGGAGATAAAGACCCTTCGAAATCACTGGCAGTGGATCTGGTACAGAGTATTCTTGTGGGTTCCCTCGCATACTATCTTGTACACCTGGCCGCACTTATGTTCATTTCAGTGTTCACTGGTTAGCCCCACATTGTGGCACTATATGTTAGTGACCATCCTACGTTGGGCACCATATGTTGGGAACTGGCCTAAACAAAAACACGTCTTACTAGGGTACAGGCATGGGGATTTAGATATATTAGTTAAAAATTTCATATTTTTCAATAACAAAAATTAATGAAATTAATAAAATATACTGGGAGAGCATTCCAATGAATATTGAAATTGTCCATGTTTAATTTTCCATAAACTACTATACCCCAAAGCAAGGAGAATGTTAAAAAAAAGAAAAACTTTAACATGATACAAAAGACAACTTGAGAAGTCAATTGTTTTAACACTTTGAGGCACCAAGTCATTAGCATTATGTTGTTTAGGTACTAGCCCAAGTATCCCAAAGGCAACCACTTGGCAGGTAAACTCACATTACAAAAAAAAAAAAAAAAAAAGAAAGAAAGAAAAAAGGAGAGAAAGAGAGAGAGAGAGAGAGAGAGAGAGAGAGAATTTAGATATTCTGAATATCTGTTAGGATAAAAACAGGCTCTAATTTTGGGCCTTCACAAGCAGTTGAGAGGGAGCCTTCATGTGTCTATAACAATTTGATATAGAATTACATCGAAACAGGGTATGAGTAAACTATTAAATTCTTAGTGAGTGAAATGAACACATGGTAATTCACAGAGTATGTGTTCTCCAGTTTGTACTGTGACTTGATAATGAATTACATCAAGACAGAGTATGAATAGAATATTAAGGAGTTCTCAGTGTGTGAATACATGCTAATCCTCAGATTATGTGTTCTCCAGTATGTGTTCATTTATTCTTTTATAGACTTTTTGACAGGCAAAGGTTTGACCACAATGATTACATTCATTGGGTTTATGGCCAATACAGGTTCTTTAATGTATTCAAAAGCTATTGTGACATAAAAGGCTGTAACATACTAAATATATTCATAGAATTTCTCTCCAGTGTGTGTTCTTTTATGCCTTTGAAGACCATTGAGATATGCAAATGATTTACCACACTGATTACATTCATGTTTTTCTCTAAGGTATGTGTTCTATTATGCATTTCAAGATGACTGGGGCATGAAAAACTTTACATTATTGATTACATACATAGGGTTTCTCTCCAGTAAGAGTACTTTTATGCATTTGATGATAACTACCACATGCAAACTTTTATCACACAGATTATATTTACAGGTTTTCTCTCCATATAAGGAGATGGTTGTGGCATGCCAAAGACTTTACCACACTGAGTATGTTCATAGGGTTTCCATCAAGTATGTGCTCTTTTGTGCATCAGAAAGTGACCATGACATTCAAGGCTTTACCATCTGAGTACATTCATAGGGTTTCTCTCTAGTATGTGTTCTTTTATGCATTTGAAAATGACAGTGACATGAAAAGGCATTACAACACTGAATACATTCATAGTGATTTTCTCAAGTATGTATTATTTTATGCCTTTGAAGAACGCTGCAATATCAAAGGCTTTATTACATTAATTACATTTATAGGGTTTCTCTCCAGTATGTGTTCTTTTATGCCTTTGAAGACAAATGAGATATGCAAAGTCTTTACTACGTTGATTTTATTCATGGGGTTTCTCTCCATTATGTGTTCTTTTGGTTTTGAAGATGACTGTGACTTACAAAAGACTTTACCACAATAATTACATTCAAAGGATTTTTCTCAAGTATGTGTTTTGTGCCTTTGAATATCAATGTGACATGCAAAGACTTTACCATACTGATTACATTTATAGGGTTTCTCTCCTGTATGTGTTCATTTATGCATTTGAAGATGATTATTACATACAAAGGCTTTACCACACTGATTACACACACAGGGTCTCTGTCCAGTGTGGTTCTTTCATGTATTCAGAGATTATTCTTATATACAAAGGATTTACTACACTGAGTGCATTCATAGGGTTTTTCTACAGTTTGTGTTCTTTTATGAGTGAGAAGATAATCCTGACTGGTAAAGGCTTTGCCACACTGATTACATTCATAGGGTTTCTATCAAGTGTGTGTTCTTATATGCCTTTGTAGAGTACTGATACATGCAAAGACTTTATAACACTGAATACATTGATAGGATTTCTCTCCAGTATGTGTTTTTTTATGCCTTTGAAGAACACTGCGATATGTAAAGGCTTTATCACACTGAGTACATTTATAGGGTTTCTCTCCAGTATGTGTTATTTCATGAATGTGAAGATGACTCTGACTTGCAAAGCATTTACCACATTGAGTACATTCATAAGGTTTTTCTCCAGTATGTGTTCTTTTATGCATTTGAAGATGACTGTTACATGTAAAGGCTTTACCACACTGATTACATTCATAGGGTTTCTCTCCAGTATGCATTCTTTGATGTATTCGGAGACTACCGTAATATACAAAGGCTTTACAACACTGATTACATTCGTAGGGTTTCTCTCCAGTATGGGTTCTTTTATGTATTTCAAGATTACTGTGACGGGCAAAGGCTTTACCACACTGATTACATTCATAGGGTTTCTCTCCAGTATGTGTTCTTATATGTCTATGGAGAGTACTGATACCTGAAAAGGCTCTGCCACACTGAGTACATTCATACGGTTTTTCTCCAGTATGTGTTCTTTTATGAATTTGAAGATGACTATGACATGCAAAGGCTTTACCACACTGATCACATTCATATGGTTTCTCTCCAGTATGTGTTCTTTCATGTATTTGGAGACTATTGTAACATACAAAGGCTTTACCACACTGATTACATTCATAGGGTTTCTCTCCAGTATGTATTCTTTTATGTATTTCAAGATTTCGGTGACTGGCAAACGCTTTACCACACTGATTGCATTCGTAGGGTTTCTCTCCAGTATGGGTTCTTATATGGGTATGAAAAGTACTGATATATGCAAAGGTTTTACCACACTGAGTACATTCATAGGGTTTTTCTCCAGTATGTGTTCTTTTATGCATTTGAAGATGACTGTGCCTTGCAAAGGTTTTACCACACTGATTACATTCATAGGGTTTCTCTCCAGTATGCATTCTTTCATGTATTCGGAGACTATTGTAACATACAAAGACTTTACCACACTGAGTACATTCAAAGGGTTTCTCTCCAGTATGTATTCTTTTATGTATTTCAAGATTACTATTACGGGAAAAGGTTTTACCACACTGATTACATTCATAGGGCTTCTCTCCAGTATGGGTTCTTATATGTCTATGAAGAGTACTGATACATGCAAAGGCTTTACCACACTGAGTACATTCATAAGGTTTTTCTCCAGTATGTGTTCTTTTATGCATTTGGAGATGACTGTGACGTGCAAAGGTTTTACCACACTGATCACATTCATAGGATTTCTCTTCAGTATGTGTTCTTTTCTGCCTTTGAAGATGACTGTCATATGCAATGGCTTTAATACTTTGAGGGTATACATAAGATTTCCCTCCAGTTTGACTTTTTTCATGCCTGCAAGAATAATGGCAAATGAAAAAGTGTTATCACATTTAATACACTGTTGAATCTTTATAACTATATCAAATAATTTTTAAATTTGTTTCACATTTAAAAAGAAATTAGATCTTAAGGTTTTATCACTGTGTTTATACTCATGCTGTTTCCATTTACTAAGGATATTTTACAACTTTCAAGATACCTTTGATAATAAAATCCTTTATTACATGAGCCACATTTACATAATTATTTTTATACAAAATTTTCCACATATTTAAAGAGAATTGGAAAAGCTCAGATCTTTAATATCCTTATTGCATTTATCAATTTCCCTATACTATTAAAGAGACTACATTTGGTAAGTGAGCTAGGACAAACAGAAGTATTACTTCTGTCTGTTACTCATGGGGATTTTCTGTAATGTGCATTTTTTGATGTATTAATGTTGAAAGAGTCAATTACTTGAATACTTGACTGATATTCCATAAGCATTCTTAACATAGGGACTGCTATATGTCTTCTAATTATTCTGAGAAGTATAATATGTCTTTCAATATTCCTATGCTCATTAAGACTTGTATTCACGGGGGCTGGAGAGATGGCTCAGTGGTTAAGAGCACTGCCTGCTCTTCCAAAGGTCCTGAGTTCAATTCCCAGCAACCACATGGTGGCTCACAACCATCTGGAATGAGGTCTGGTGCCCTCTTCTGGCCTGCAGACATACACACAGACAGAATATTGTATACATAATACAATATACACACATATTGTATACATAATACAATAATACATACACACAATACAGAATATTGTATACATAATAAATAAATAAATATTTAAAAAAAAAGACTTGTATTCAGCATGACATATGATATACCTATTCAAGGAAAAATTAATGTCTGTCATCATAGACTTATGGTACAGAGATTAAGGTTTATCCATAACTGCCCCTTCATTCTTGACTCTAATTGTACCCTCAATAAACTTAGCATAATCACATCACGTATATAAATCACACAAGCTTCAACATGGACAATTTGCATGTTAGAAAGTCTTGGAGACATACTTATCACCACTTCAGTGTTTATAATTTTTGTAATATGAGTGGTATGGAAGAAATTGATTGACAATTTTACAGCATAGATCTCATGATGCTATGACTAAATTGGTGATATCTGTTAAGACAGTTTCCTTAGCTTCTTTCTTAAAAGTGTGGCTTTCAAATGCAATTCATCCAGCTGAAACTGAGGTACAATGTTTTATGACAATATAATTATCATTCATGCACTCATATAAAGTATCACTATTTATTATGTTGGTTTTGTTTAAAACTTCCATTACATACCACAGTTTCTATAGAGGAACATTTGTATTAGCTTGCACATGAAAATTACCTTTCATATCTTCTAGACCATGGAGAATGCTTTTCAATATTATGGTCTTCCCAACTGTATCCTAAAATATAGTATCAGAAAATATATGTAATATTCAAAAATATGCAGAATGTTAGTTGCTATCTTCTCTGAACCTTAGAACCATGCCTGATTTATTCACCCCATTGCTCTTCTTTCTTTATCAAATTGGAGAACAAAAATAACCAATGAACTGTTGTCCCCTTATTTGAAACATAAAAAAAAAAAATTCAGTCTTACCTATAGTAGTGAGGTTCCTGTAGGTCTCCAACATAACATCTTCGTAGAGATTCTTCTGGAAAGGATGCAGCAAAGTCCATTCTTCCCAAGTGAAATCAATATGCACATCATCAAAGGTCACTGCATTCTAAAATTTTCAGTGCATATGTACAATAGAAAGTATAATGACAACATTGTAAATATATAGTTCTTTGACAGTATACTCATATAATTCTGGGACTTCCCCACAATTATTTCATATCATAGACATTATGATTTAGTTACCAAGTAACTTTTGAAAGAAGCTAAATAGGAGGTTCACCACTATTATTTTTTTTAGCCCTTGAATGGGATATCACCTGCAAGAGAAATGCCTATAAACAAACATGGAGAGACAAGTAAACAGATCAGCAGTACAGAGGACACGTAGAAAAAAATTTGTATGAACAACTAATAAGTGCCTACAGAAACAAGCAACAAAATGGGTAAACTGGGTACACTGGATCATGCCTCTAATTCCAGGACTCAGAAGGCAGAGACCTCTGAATTGAATGCCTGACAAGTCTATTCAATCATGTCTAGGACAGTCAGAATTACATACTAAGAACCTATTATCTATGTATAAATCAGCCAAAAAAAAAAAAACACTAAAAGAACAAACAAAAATCATAGAAAAAAACCAGAAATGTTTGGTGAAGTTCCTATACAGAACTGTGCATTCACTCCAGGCTTGTATTCATCTTCCAAAAACCTGAAGTGTGCCAATTTAAACTCTAACATTAATAAAATTTTACTAAAAGGCACTGTATATTTTAAAAGTTAAAAATTGAGACATGAAAACCTTAGCAATATAAATGTTATCACAAGTAATCAACACAGGGTAGGAGAGAGGGCACAAACTAAGGAGAATTTGCTAGCTTGCATATAGGTGGGCTCAATTGTCAGTACTTTTTTTTTTTTTTGATTTTCAATTACAGGCAGAAAGAAGGTGATGCACCTGCAATCCAATGAATCAGAAGGCTAAGGCATTATTGTCATAAATACATGCCATTTGGGGAAACAAAAATGATACCTTCTTCCAAATTTTACATTCAAGATAAGGGAGAATCTCAGTGCAATAGCATATGTTTGACAGAGACAAAACCATCAATCAGTAATATAAAAGCAAAAGAAAGGAATGTTAGCCCACCTTTAGTCACAGCACTTGGGATACAGTCAGAGGAGCTGAGACTGAGGCCAGAGTGGTGTGCAGAACTATTTTTCAGTACAGCTAGGGTTACATGGATAAATATTGTCTCCAAAAAATTACAAACAAGAAGATTCAAACAGAAGGTTACTAAACTGCCTTATCACAGAATATCATTATTCTGTATTATTTATACTGACTTTTATGTAACACTACTATAATGGTGGTGAAGGCATGACAGCACAAGAAAGAAGCTTACTGATTAATATCAAACATAACACAGTACACAAAGAACAGGAAATAGATTGAGGCAATAGAGACTCATATCACATTCCCCATGAGGAATTTCATCCAGAAAGTCTCCTCCTACTAATGATTTCACAAGCAATACATGCTCAAATGCATCTTCCTGTTTGGGGAGGTTTTTAATTTAATCAACAACATTTTGACCCAAGTCATTAAAGGCTCAAGGTCATCCATGAAGAATATGCTTTAGTTACTTCAGTGATCTTTACAGTCAGCAAAAGCCCCTACAAAGTTTAAATGCCCAAAGTCTTTTGTGAAACTGAAGACAATCGCTTGATAGTGACATCTTCTAAAAGAAAAAAATGTGTTACATCTTTCTAACATACAATGGCAGAGTACCATTCACATTCCAAAAGAGAAAAATGGAAATATAGTGAGGGAAGATTGGACCAAGGCAAGGCTGAAGCACCACAGAACAAACATCAAATCCTGAAGCTCTATCTCAGATGCATGCAACTTCAATTTCAAAGGACTGAGATAGCCCTATCCATGTAACTTCTCATACATCTATCTCTTTGATTACCTTCAATCTCTGTAGATAGCTTGCTCTCCATGGAAGATGTCTCATTGTTTAGGTATCTCAACATAATGTGGTCTCAAAATGCAACTCAGGTAGGCTATTGCAAAATTTATTATTTTAAGACGTGTTATATTTACTTATGCTGTAGATAATTTCTTTCAATAATGCAAAGATCTGTTGCATTCCTTTATGCTTCATTTTTTAACTCTGGTGAAGCTCCAGTGCTTTGCCTGTCTTAATCACCAGATTTTGCTAACAAAGAGATGAACAGCCAATAGCTTATCATGCTGTAGATAATTCAATGATGCAAAAGATCTGTTGCATTCCTTTATGTTGAATTTTTTAACTCTGGTGAAGCTCCAGTGCTTTGCCTGTCTTAAGCACCTGATTTTGCTAACAAAGAGATGAACAGCCAATAGCTTATCAGGAAAAGATATGAAAGTCTGGAAGGCCGAGAGAATAAAAGTGAGGAGAAATCTGGGAGAAAAAAAGGAAGGAGGAACAAGAAAATGATGGGACACCAGGGGACAGACATCCAGCTATACAACAAGCTAGAGAGTAAGAAGTAAAGAAAGGTATAGAGAACAGAAAAAGACAAAAAGCTAGATACAAAAGGTAGATGGAATAACTTATGTTCAAAAAAATGGCTAGCAACAAGAGAAGTTAAGGCCAGAGATTTTTAAATAATAATAAAGCTCTGTGGTTTATTTGGAAGCTGGGTGTCTTGTTCCCAGAAAGACAGAATCAACTGAATACATTTTGGTGCCCAATGTGGGGATCAAAATTCATGGCTCCTTTAAGAGTTTCTGCATTACAGAAGTCCTTGAGCAGTAGGTACATAAAAATTCTAACCACATAAATAAATAAATAAATGGCTACAGAAGAACAAAAATCAGATTCCCAGTGATATGAAGGTAGAATGTAATTCCTGAAACACAATTTCTAACTGGCTGCAGGCTTAGTGCTTGGTTTTCATGAACAGAGAAGCAGGAGCCTACAGCCAAAGTTAATAGGGGAAGTAAATGATGCATAGCAGTTTAAAGACTTTTGTTGTGAAAAAAAAAAAAGCTAAATGATATTCAGTTAAACAGGTTCAGATTGAAAAAAATCTGTAAAAAAGTTTCCAATGTATTCTATAATTTGCATAGGCTTAAGAAAGGAAAGAAAATAGGTATAGGCATTTATAGAAAGAAATAGATTTAGAAAATAGTAAAGTCTTTTAAAAAAACAGCAACACTGATAGAAATTTTAAGAAAAGCATGTAAAGATAGAAAATATCCAGGGAGTCAGGATTCTGAATAGTATTGCATTGATTTTGAACTTTTTGATGACTGATGGGCAAGAGGCAGCTGGTAGAAGACATGGGATTATAAACAGCACTGTAAAATGAACCAATTCAAGTACGTTGGATTATATTTTTGTTACTATGGTTTTTAATGAGCTTTACATTTTTCTCCACTCCACTCCCTTCCCCCCTCTTCTTCTACCTTTTCATTTGACCCCCACACTGCTGATTTAGTCAGAAATCATGTCATATATATAACCATGTATATCATTCTTAGGGTCTTCTGTTGTCTAGTTTCTCTGGTAGTGTAGCTTCTAGGCTGGATTTTCTTTACTTTATGACTAAAAGACACTTATGACTAAGTACAAATTATATTTGTCTTTCTTGGTCTGGGTTACCTCACTCAATATGTTGTTTTTCTAGATACATCAATTGCCTACAGATTTCAAGATGTCATTATTTTTTATCTTTGTGTAGTACTCCATTGTATAACTGTACCACATTTTCTTTATCCATTCTCTAGTTGAGGGGCATCTGGGTTTGTTGTTGGAGGCATTTTGTTGGTTCCTAGATGCTCAGCGCCAAAATAAACACCGAGAAGTGTTATTATTTGCAATACTGTTTGGCCAATAGCTTACGTGTATTTTTAGCTCATTCTTATCTCTTAAATTAACCTGTTTTTATTATTTTATATTTTACCATGAGGCTAGTGGCCTACCAGCAAAGTTGTGGCTGATAGCTTGCATCTTTTTCCTCCGGTGGTTCTATGGTGTCTTTCTGACTCCACCTTCTTTCTCACAGCATTTAGTTGAGTTTTCCTACCTAGCTATATTTTGTTAAGCCACTGGCCAAAACAGCTTCTTTATTCATTAAGTAATAAAAGCAACACATATGCAAAAGGACTTCCCACACCATAGGTTGTTACCAGGTTCTGGCTATTACAAATAATGCTATGAACATAGTTGAGCACAGGTTTTTATGGTATGATTGAGTGTCATTATGGTATATACCCAACAGCAGTATTGTTGGGTCTTGGGGTAAATTGTTTCCTATTTTTGTGAGAAATCGCCATACTGATTTTCAAAGCAGCCTCACAAGTTTAGAAGACCACCATAGAGGAGTGTAGCCCTTACCCCATATCCTCTACAGCTTAAGCTGTCATCAGTGCTTTTGTTCTTGGCCATCCAGACATGTGTAGATCGAATCTCAGAGCTGTTTTGATGTGCATTTCTCTGATAGCTACGCATGATGAGCATTTCCTTATGTATCTCTCGGCCTTTTGCAATTCATCTGCTGAGAGCTTTCTGTTTAGGTCTGTACCTCATTTTGCTAAATGATTTACTCTTTTATTGTCAAGTTATCTTAAGTTTGAAATATATTTCAAATGTATCTGTTAAATGGAAATAAAAAATATTTTTGAGAAGAGGTTTTGTTTCCACAGAAGAGTAAATGCTGTGGATTTCTTAAGGAATGACATTGGTCAGATTTGATCAAGGAAGACTTCCAAAATCTTGACAAGTGATCACTATCAGCAAAGACATTCTACAGAACACAAAGGAAAGTGACTGATGAACTTTGCCAATGCAAGGTAGGATAGTCCTTCAAATTTCCCACTTCAGAGAAAAGCCTTCCTTTATGCTGAAAATGAGTAGTTCAATATTGTAAAAGAACTTTGGGTGATGGTACAGGTAGCTCAGTGTCTCTGTTGTTATGGAATATTAATTCCATTTCAGGTCTTGGATGGAGTTAAACACTAAATAATTAGAGTTTCAGTTTCCCATAGCTATGATAGAAAGTAAGTTAAGTAGTTGGATGGTGGTTGCCCACGCCTTTAATACCAGCACTTGGAAG